TATTAGGAGTGGAGAGGGGTCTGGATGTTGTTTGCGGGCAAAATTTGGAGACAGGGTAGAGAAGGGGAACGAGGATACAACTCAGAAGTTCGAGGCAAGAATTGGAGGCAGCAGTAAAGAGAAAAATTCCATTTACAGTTTTAGTTTTAAGCTTGGGTGGGAAATTGTGTTGGCTGTTTGTGAAAAAAGCTATTCTCATAATGTGAGGTTGGTATTCAAAAAGCGTTGTGCAAAAATTATTGAAAATACCATGAATACCGAGACTGCTCGGGCTACCAGTATGATTGTTGGTGATGTTACTAGGATGTTCTCACATGTCAAGCGCAGCTATGCCAGGCATTTCGATCCTGGCCTGCATATCTCCAGTTAGTACCCACCCCCTGTCCGACGTATTGTGCGCTCTCTCTTCGGGGATCACTCAAGTGGTCGTTTACTTTCTCGTGGATACTGCCCATTAATGTATATTATTAATGAAAATATTTGCACTTTTTGCCTCGTAATGTACTTATCTTCTTCGGTTGTAGCTGTTATGATGGAGAATGTTAGCAACTTAGCGATGCTTCAATGTGCCTTGGCGGTGTACAAATCGAATTTGGTGATCGAACGTTTCAATAAAATGCCTGAACATTGCCAAAATTATGGTTTGGCACGTGAATTGTTGGCACGGGCATATCTGGAGAAGCTTGATTATTCGAAAACAGCCGAAATTTTGGAAGCTGTTCACAACGAATTTCCACATCGCGTTTCGGGAATGGAGGTTTGCGACTGCTTTTTTCGTCCTTGACTATCTGGTCATGTGACAAAAATGACAAATAATAACTGGCCTGATTCTTATCCTGTGAGTATTAAGCAATTTGTAGCAACCATGTTGATAGTGGAAGCCAAAATGGCGAAGGTGCGATAGATTACAGCATGAGAGAACAGTAGAAGAGAAGGAGATAAGAATGAGATAAGCCTTAGTTAAATTACGCGGAAGGACCTCGTCAGTACGACAGTCGCATTGCTTAATGTAAAAGGAAAAGGACGACAGAAAGAAGCAGAAAAAAACGCCTTTTGTACGCTCCGGCTTAGTTCTAAACGAACTTGCACGCAGCAAACCAAAGCTGAGATGATCGCCATTAAAATCAATGTATCATTTCGATCGTTTCTTTTTTTAAATTATTTGAATGTGCTAAGTTCAAAAGTGCTTGCACTTGAGGAATACACGGCAGAAGATTGAGGTTTATCTTTACAACTGCCAAAGCAAAAGAATGCGCCAGTAGTAATACATGCAAATCCAGTAATTAGCAGTTATCACCGGGAAAATCGTCCAAGGATTCGCTGCTCGAGGCCTCATTAGTAGGGTGGACGTGACTATAGGAAGGCCGGGACTAGCGTGAAGATGATTAGTAAGTGCCACAGTCAGTTGACTCCAGCAACAGTAGTTAGTAGAAGTTAACTAACGGGATTGCACAGTCGAAAGGCTTTATTAGTGACGACGAAGAGCCGAAGTTTGAGTGAAGGGCCGAACTAAAACCAATGATGGTTCGGGGATTTTTGTGGGGTATATACGGTTATTTGAAGGGCGGATGGAAGAGCTTCGATTGACGATTATCAGCGAAAGAGGGGAAGAAAGGATATGGAATGGAGGGATTGACCCTGCATTTGTTTTTGTTCAAATCTGACCCTGGAGACCCTTATTTTTGTATAATTTTGTTTTGAAATGTCTCGTTTTTGCAGATTTTTTCAACAGCACTATGGCATGCGCAGGATTCTCGACGCTTATCGATGCTTGCCAGTCACATGACCGAAGAGTGCCGTATGAGTCCCGAATCGTGGTGTGTGGCTGGCAATTGTTTCAGTGCCCAAAAACAGCACGAAATGGCAATAACGTGTTTCGAGCGTGCACTTGCACTCGAACATCATTACCCGTACGGTTATACATTGCTTGGACATGAACTACTGGATATGGATCAGTTCGAAAAAGCCGCGGCGGCATTTAGGCAAGAATTCAGCTTCTTTTAACCGTCAAGCACACTGCAGCATCCAGGTTGAACTAAAAAGCGCTGATGGCGAAGGTGTAAAGAAATTCAGGAAGAAAGATTAATATAAGAGAGCAAGCAAGAATGAAATAAGACGTTTCATTTCCATTAAGTCATATACGCCTTAACTCGACACTACGACTGGACCTCGTCAGTATGACGGCCTTAATAAGAAGAAAGATGAAAATGAAAAAAGGGGATACGCTGTGATTGTGTTTTTAAAGAGTGTTAGTTGGAAAAAAAGAGTTTAGAAATTTTAGCATACATGGCGTTGTTATTCCTGCTGCTATGGCAGGTGTTGTACTTTCTTTTAAAAGTTTGATTCTTACAATTGGAAAAATACGAATTTTCTGCGTTTTGTCCACTGCTTTTGAATGATAAATTGAAGTGGCACTTGTCGGCGAGTGAAATTAATAGCTCCCGAATCTAACCAAACTTGACTGGTTGTGTTTACACCTAAGAGATAAAACAGGCAGCATAGTTCTCTCCGTTTCTTCCACTCTATATGAGGAGAAAGAAGCACTCGGAAGTGTTTTGAGTAGTAATACTTGCCAACAGTAACCAACTGTCAAAAAGACTGTTGCTAGCTTTCTCTTTCAAGATTTGCTTGGAATCAAGTTAATGGCGATATGATACGATTCGTACACCTTTATTTTCTTCCAACATCTTAAAGCTTTTAATAAGATCCTTGGTAATTAGCATGTAAATGTTATGGGTCACAAAACATTCCAATTCAGTTTTTACTTCCTTTTAATTATTACCTTTCCTTGTAGTTATGGCCTTTTCATAACTTCATAAAATATTCAAATGATGGTTTGAAATACGTAATATTAATTTTATAAATGATTATTATGTCATTATGTTTTGTCTTAATTGATGGTTATTATGTTTTAATGATTATTATTTTTTTCTTAATTTTATTCTTACTGTGTCTGCAGGCGAGCGCTGACACTCTCACCAACGGATTATCGAGCATGGTTTGGCTTGGGCCTGTTGCATTTCAAGAAGGAGCAAGTGAATCTGGCACGTGTGCATCTGAGTCGAGCTGTTGCACTGAATCCCTATAATTCAGTGCTGCTTTGTCAACTCTCTGTGGTCGAGCAGGCTTTGCATAATAACGCTGTGGTAAATCGTTGTTTTTAAAACTTTATTGCATTTTTAAGTTTCACACAAGCGATGGAAAAAGCATTTTCTAACGTGATGGTTCAGAAATTAAACGCCTACTCAGCACTCTGTTTTCATAAAAAGCGTGTCCTTATAAATTCATGCGTTGATTGCCCGTGTCATAGGTTGACTCCTTTCTTTTCTCTCTCATTCTGTTTGCTCTCTCATTGATTTTTCTTTCGCATATCCGTCTTACGATTGTTCCGAACATGGTC